ATGATTACATCTTGTACCGTAAATGTTGTATTAAATAAAGTTAATATTACCGACATTATTAACGTCCCTGTAGCTTCGTATTGCACTAAGAAGCTTATTGCACTGTATATAAATATATATATATATACAGTGCAATAATTATTTCATGCTAAATGAAGCTCTGTTGGATATCACTAGATCCTGTTACAGCGTAATATAAGTACATAACGATTGATGTGTACATTAGCATCATTACTAGCTAGCCACTAGCTGCTAACTGCCGCCTCGTTCATATCAAATCCATGATAACAACAACCATTACCATGCTGTCATGAACGCGCGGTGCTGTTACGTGTACGCAAATTAACGTGCTTGATGTGAACGAGCATTTTGGTTAAAGTTGCGCATGCTCTATGAGCGCACATACGGGTACTTCTCAGGCATGCTGGGTAATCTGTGACGTTTCACTCTCTCAAAAGGTGGGCCATTTTATCATCATGCGCTAATGAGCAACTCTCATAGGAATTAATGAGGCCCCGCCTCCCACGCTGTATCCAGTTCTTATTATACATCCATGGGTTGGCGGAGTGGTTACTGCGTTCGCCTCCCACCCATTTTTTTTTGTTACAACGTCCCGTGAGTAAGGTGCAGTACCGGAGTCCAACAGAGAGGCAGTAGACTGCGTACTGCGAAACCTTCCCTGCCTTGAACAAGAATTGATCCTTCGTTGTGAAGAGTCTGGTTAATGCGCTCCGCACCACAGCAGCAGCCCCGCAGCGACAGAGTCCAACAGAGAGGCAGGAGCTGCGGGACAGTAGCCTAGAAGCAGGGTTGGGTTGTAACGGAATACATGTAACGGCGTTACGTAATCAGAATACACAAATCAAGTAGGCTAACTGTATTCAGCTGGCGTTACATTTGAAAAACGAGTAATCTGATTACAGTTACTTTCGTAAACCTGAAGTGAATACATTTGGAATACTTTTTGGAATTATTGGTGGAAAAGTTTCCTCACAAAATGTAATATTCATTACCGGCAGAGCTGTGTGCACACTGCACAGCGCTGCAGCGTGTCTGTGAGCGAGAGAGAGATGCAGCGTGTCTGTGAGGCCCCGCCCCCGCACGCAGATGAGAGAGAGATCTCTTTTAAAATATATTAAAAGTTAGAAACGGAGATGGTTCATAAAATGTGCAAGATAACGTTTATGTAGCGTTTCTTTATAGTCGCGATGATGACATTTCATAACGGGATCAAATCAAAGTGAATGGCCTGCTGCTGCTGAATGCATGGGGCAAGTGACTGGAAACAGTTTTAAAAGTTATTACATCGTTTCAGATAATAAATAATAATGATGATTCATTCTATTTAGGGGCGCCTTTCAAAGCACCAAGGACACCTTACAATTCATAACATATTCCAAGGAAAGGTTTTAAGACAGTACAAAGAATGCAGTCCGGGTGATGTTTTTTATGTGTGGTGCAGATGAGAGAGAGCTGTCCAGAATGACACCAAGATGTTGTGTTTGAGTTCTTGATAAGCCATTAAAACAGTAAAATACGTGTCTCCTGTTCCCCAAAACATACCCATCTGTTATGGAAAAAGACAGTATTCTAAAAGTATTCTAAAAGTAATCTGAATACATTTTTAAGACACGTAGCTGTATTCTGATTACTTCAGAGCATGTATTCAGTAACTGATTACATTTACAAAGTAACCCTCCCAACCCTGCCTAGGAGTGATCCTTCGTTAGCGTGAAGAGTCTGCTAAGCTTCATGTGGTCCACAGTACCTGAGCGTGCTCCACGAGCACGCACTCCCCCCCCCCACTTCAAAATTCTGGGCTATATAAAAATCGCTGGCTCGCGATAGTGTCTATTGGATACATTTTGGCCCTTGGACAAATGTAGTTGGTGATCCCATACTGTTTTAAAGGGGCCCTATTCTGCAGTATGTAGCGTCTCTACTTTAAAGAGTTCTCTCCTGCTGATGTTCAGGTGTATATCAGTATGTAGCGTCTCTACTTTAAAGAGTCCTCTCCTGCTGAGTTTCAGGTGTATATCAGTATGTAGTGTCTCTACTTTAAAGAGTCCTCTCCTGCTGATGTTCAGGTGTATATCAGTATGTAGTGTCTCTACTTTAAAGAGTCCTCTCCTGCTGATGTTCAGGTGTATATCAGTATGTAGTGTCTCTACTTTAAAGAGTCCTCTCCTGCTGATGTTCAGGTGTATATCAGTATGTAGAGTCTCTACTTTAAAGAGTTCTCTCCTGCTGATGTTCAGGTGTATATCAGTATGTAGCGTCTCTACTTTAAAGAGTCCTCTCCTGCTGATGTTCAGGTGTATATCAGTATGTAGCATCTCTACTTTAAAGAGTCCTCTCCTGCTGATGTTCAGGTGTATATCAGTATGTAGTGTCTCTACTTTAAAGAGTCCTCTCCTGTTGATGTTCAGGTGTATATCAGTATGTAGTGTCTCTACTTTAAAGAGTCCTCTCCCTGCTGATGTTCAGGTGTATATCAGTATGTAGTGTCTCTACTTTAAAGAGTCCTCTCCTGCTGATGTTCAGGTGTATATCAGTATTAGTGTCTCTACTTTAAAGAGTCCTCTCCTGCTGATGTTCAGGTGTATATCAGTATGTAGTGTCTCTACTTTAAAGAGTCCTCTCCTGCTGATGTTCAGGTGTATATCAGTATGTAGAGTCTCTACTTTAAAGAGTCCTCTCCTGCTGATGTTCAGGTGTATATCAGTATGTAGCGTCTCTACTTTAAAGAGTTCTCTCCTGCTGATGTTCAGGTGTATATCAGTATGTAGCGTCTCTACTTTAAAGAGTCCTCTCCTGCTGATGTTTAGGTGTATATCAGTATGTAGTGTCTCTACTTTAAAGAGTCCTCTCCTGCTGATGTTCAGGTGTATATCAGTATGTAGTGTCTCTACTTTAAAGAGTCCTCTCCGCTGATGTTCAGGTGTATATCAGTATGTAGTGTCTCTACTTTAAAGAGTCCTCTCCTGCTGATGTTCAGGTGTATATCAGTATGTAGAGTCCTCTACTTTAAAGAGTTCTCTCCTGCTGATGTTCAGGTGTATATCAGTATGTAGCGTCTCTACTTTAAAGAGTCCTCTCCTGCTGATGTTCAGGTGTATATCAGTATGTAGCATCTCTACTTTAAAGAGTCCTCTCCTGCTGATGTTCAGGTGTATATCAGTATGTAGTGTCTCTACTTTAAAGAGTCCTCTCCTGTTGATGTTCAGGTGTATATCAGTATGTAGTGTCTCTACTTTAAAGAGTCCTCTCCTGCTGATGTTCAGGTGTATATCAGTATGTAGTGTCTCTACTTTAAACAGTCCTCTCCTGCTGATGTTCAGGTGTATATCAGTATGTAGTGGCTCTACTTTAAACAGTCCCTCTCCTGCTGATGTTCAGGTGTATATCAGTATGTAGTGTCTCTACTTTAAAGAGTCCTCTCCTGCTGATGTTCAGGTGTATATCAGTATGTAGAGTCTCTACTTTAAAGAGTCCTCTCCTGCTGATGTTTCAGGTTGTATATCAGTATGTAGTGTCCTCTACTTTAAAGAGTCCTCTCCTGCTGATGTTCAGGTGTATATCAGTATGTAGTGTCTCTACTTTAAAGAGTCCTCTCCTGTGATGTTCAGGTGTATATCAGTATGTAGTGTCTCTACTTTAAAGAGTTCTCTCCTGCTGATGTTCAGGTGTTTATCAGTATGTAGTGTCTCTACTTTAAAGAGTCCTCTCCTGCTGATGTTCAGGTGTATATCAGTATGTAGTGTCTCTACTTTAAAGAGTCCTCTCCTGCTGATGTTCAGGTGTATATCAGTATGTAGTGTCTCTACTTTAAAGAGTCCTCTCCTGTTGATGTTCAGGTGTATATCAGTATGTAGTGTCTCTACTTTAAAGAGTCCTCTCCTGCTGATGTTCAGGTGTATATCAGTATGTAGTGTCTCTACTTTAAAGAGTCTCTCCTGCTGATGTTCAGGTGTATATCAGTATGTAGTGTCTCTACTTTAAAGAGTCCTCTCCTGCTGATGTTCAGGTGTATATCAGTATGTAGTGTCTCTACTTTAAAGAGTTCTCTCCTGCTGATGTTCAGGTGTTTATCAGTATGTAGTGTCTCTACTTTAAAGAGTCCTCTCCTGCTGATGTTCAGGTGTATATCAGTATGTAGTGTCTCTACTTTAAAGAGTCCTCTCCTGCTGATGTTCAGGTGTATATCAGTATGTAGTGTCTCTACTTTAAAGAGTCCTCTCCTGTTGATGTTCAGGTGTATATCAGTATGTAGTGTCTCTACTTTAAAGAGTCCTCTCCTGCTGATGTTCAGGTGTATATCAGTATGTAGTGTCTCTACTTTAAACAGTCCTCTCCTGCTGATGTTCAGGTGTATATCAGTATGTAGTGCCTCTACTTTAAAGAGTCCTCTCCTGCTGATGTTCAGGTGTATATCAGTATGTAGAGTCTCTACTTTAAAGAGTCCTCTCCTGCTGATGTTCAGGTGTATATCAGTATGTAGTGTCTCTACTTTAAAGAGTCCTCTCCTGCTGATGTTCAGGTGTATATCAGTATGTAGTGTCTCCTACTTGAAAGAGTCCTCTCCTGCTGATGTTCAGGTGTATATCAGTATGTAGTGTCTCTACTTTAAAGAGTCCTCTCGTGCTGATGTTCAGGTGTATATCAGTATGTAGTGTCTCTACTTGAAAGAGTCCTCTCCTGCTGATGTTCAGGTGTATATCAGTATGTAGAGTCTCTACTTTAAAGAGTCCTCTCCTGCTGATGTTCAGGTGTATATCAGTATGTAGTGTCTCTACTTTAAAGAGTCCTCTCCTGCTGATGTGCAGGTCCAAGTTAAATCATCTTGCCACAAGTCAACATGATTTAAATAAACTAAAGTATTTCATGTTGAGTTAATGTGTCTCAAGTAAAGCCAAGTTATAGTCATTATGTCACAAATACTGTAGTACTGCATTTCTGCCTGAAACTCAATGTTATTTACTCTGTTAATTCCTACTCACCACGTCTAAGAAGGTGCTCTCCAGGGACCTGTATTCGGACGACGTCTTGTTGAAAAGATCTAGGGAGAAGTCCATGTTGGTGACGCGCAGACTGAAGAACACCACCAGTTCTCTTCCGTTACTCGCTGTGGTCATGGAGGGCGTGGTGAGATACTTCACAGGAGGCCGGGCCGTGGAGGGAGCGCTGGTTTGTTCCTCAACAACAGACAGGAAGCCACTCCCCTCTTCTGAAATCATTACATTAAAAGGTCACCTATTCTGCAAAATCCTCTTCTTCATGTCTCTTCTACATAAACATGTGTCCCCTCTTCTTCATGTCTCTTCTACATCAACATGTGTCCCCTCTTCTTCATGTCTCTTCTACATCAACATGTGTCCCCTCTTCTTCATGTCTCTTCTACATCAACATGTGTCCCCTCTTCTTCATGTCTTTCTACATCAACATGTGTCCCCTCTTCTTCATGTCTCTCTACATCAACATGGTGTCCCCCTCTTCTTCATGTCTCTTCTACTCAACATGTGTCCCCTCTTCTTCATGTCCTCTTCTACATCAACATGTGGTCCCCTCTTCTTCATGTCTCTTCTTAATCAACATGTGTCCCCTCTTCTTCATGTCTCTTCATCATCAACATGTGTCCCCTTCTTCATGGTCTCTTCTAACATCAACATGTGTCCCCTCTTCTTCATGTCTCTTCTACATCAACATGTGGTCCCCCTCTTCTTCATGTCTCTTCTACATCACATGTGTCCCCTCTTCTCCATGTCTCTTCTACATCAACATGTGTACCCTCTTCTCCATGTCTCTTCTACATCAACATGTGGTCCCCTCTTCTCCATGTCTCTTCTACATCAACATGTGTCCCCTCTTCTTCCATGTCTCTTCTACATCAACATGTGTCCCCTCTTCTTCATGTCTCTTCTACATCAACATGTGTCCCCCTCATTCTTCATGTCTCTTCTACATCAACATGTGTCCCCCTCTTCTTCATGTCTCTTCTACATCAACATGTTCTGTCCCCTCTTCTTCATGTCTCTTCTACATCAATATGTGGTCCCCTATTCTCCATGTCTCTTCTACATCAACATGTGGTCCCCTCTTCTTCATGTCTCCTCTACATCAACATGTGTCCCCTCTTCTTCATGTCTCCTCTACATCAACATGTGTCCCCTCTTCTTCATGTCTCCTCTACATCAAACATGTGTCCCCTCTTCTCCATGTCTCTTCTACATCAACATGTGTCCCCTCTTCTTCATGTCTCTTCTAACATCAGCATGTGTCCCTCTTCTTCATGTCTCTTCTACATCAACATGTGTCCCCCTCTTCTACATCAACATGTGTCCCCCCTCTTCTTCATGTCCTTCTACATCAACAATGTGTCCCCTCTTCTTCATGTCTCTTCTTACATCAACATTGTCCCCTCTTCTTCATGTCTCTTCTACATCAACATGTGTCCTCTCTTCTTCATGTCTCTTCTTACATCAACATGTGTCCTCTCTTCTTCATGTCTCTTCTACATCAACATGTGTCCCCTCTTCTTCATGTCTCTTCTACATCAACATGTGTCCCCTCTTCTTACTGTCTCTTCTACATCAACATGTTGTCCCCTCTTCTTCATGTCTCTTCTACATCAACATGTGTCCTCCTCTTTCTTCATGTCCTCTTCTACATCAACATGTGTCCTCTCTTCTTCATGTCTCCTTCTACATCAACATGTGTCCTCTCTTCTTCAATGTCTCTTCTACATCAACATGTGTCCTCTCTTCTTCATGTCTCTTCTACATCAACATGTGTCCCCCTCTTCTTCATGTCTCTTCTACATCAACATGTGTCCTCTCTTCTTCATGTCTCTTCTACATCAACATGTGTCCTCTCTTCTTCATGTCTCTTCTACAATCAACATGTGTCCCCTCTTCTTCATGTCTCTTCTACATCAACATGTGTCCTCTCTTCTTCATGTCTCTTCTACATCAACATGTGTCCCTCTCTCTTCTTCATGTCTCTTCTACATCAACATGTGTCCTCTCTTCTTCATGTCTCTTCTACATCAATGTGTCCCCTCTTCTTCATGTCTCTTCTACATCAACATGTGTCCCCTCTTCTTCACGTCTCTTCTACATCAACATGTGTCCCCTCTTCTTCATGTCTTCTTCTACATCAACATTGTCCTCTCTTCTTCATGTCTCTTCTACATCAACATGTGTCCCTCTTCTTCATGTCTCTTCTACATCAACATGTGTCCTCTCTTCTTCATGTCTCTTCTACATCAACATGTGTCCTCTCTTCTTCATGTCTCTTCTACATCAACATGTGTCCCCTCTTCTTCATGTCTCTTCTACATCAACATGTGTCCTCTCTTCTTCATGTCTCTTCTACATCAACATGTGTCCTCTCTCTTCATGTCTCTTCTACATCAACATGTGTCCCCTCTTCTTCATGTCTCTTCTACATCAACATGTGTCCCTCTCTTCTTCATGTCTCTTCTACAATCAACATGTGTCCCTCGCTTCTTCATGTCTCTTCTACATCAACATGTGTCCCCTCTTCTTCATGTCTCTTCTACATCAACATGTGTCCCCCCCAAAAGGTCTTCTTCATGTCTCTTCTACATCAACATGTGTCCCCTCTTCTTCATGTCTCTTCTACATCAACATGTGTCCTCTCTTCTTCATGTCTCTTCTACATCAACCATGTGTCCCTCTCTTCTTCATGTCTCTTCTACATCAACATGTGTCCTCTCTTCTTCATGTCTCTTCTACTCAACATGTGTTCCTCTCTCTTCTTCATGTCTCTTCTACATCAACATGTGTCCCCTCTTCTTCATGTCTCTTCTACATCAACATGTGTCCTCTCTTCTTCATGTCCTCTTGACTACTATCATGTCTCTTCTACATCACATGTGTCCTCTCTTCTTCATGTCTCTTCTACATCAACATGTGTCCATCTCTTCTCATGTCTCTTCTACATCACATGTGTCCCCCTCTTCTTCATGTCTCTTCTACATTCAACATGTGTCCTCCTCTTCTTCATGTCTCTTCTACATCAACATGTGTCCTCTCTTCTTCATGTCTCTTCTACATCAACATGTGTCCCCTCTTCTTCATGTCTCTTCTACATCAACATGTGTCCCCTCTTCTTCACGTCTCTTCTACATCAACATGTGTCCCCTCTTCTTCCCGTCTCTTCTACATCAACACGTGTCCCCTCTTCTTCACGTCTCTTCTACATCAACACGTGTCCCCTCTTCTTCACGTCTCTTCTACATCAACACGTGTCCCCTCTTCTTCACGTCTCTTCTACATCAACATGTGTCCCCTCTTCTTCATGTCTCTTCTACATCAACATGTGTCCCCTCTTCTTCATGTCTCTTCTACATCAACATGTGTCCCCTCTTCTTCATGTCTCTTCTACATCAGCATGTGTCCCCCTCTTCCTCATGTCTCTTCTACAATCACCATGTGTCCCCTCTTCTTCATGTCTCTTCTACATCAACATGTGTCCCCTCTTCTTCATGTCTCTTCTACATCACATGTGTCCCCTCTTCTTCATGTCTCTTCCACATCAACATGTGTCCCCTCTTCTTCATGTCTCTTCTACATCAAACATGTGTCCCCTCTTTTTCACACGTCTCTTCTACATCAACATGTGTCCCCTCTCTTTCACGTCTCTTCTACATCAACATGTGTCCCCTCTTCTTCATGTCTCTTCTACATCAACATGTGTCCCCTCTTCTTCATGTCTCTTCCACATCAACATGTGTCCCCTCTTCTTCATGTCTCTTCTACATCAACATGTGTCCCCTCTTTTTCATGTCTCTTCTACATCAACATGTGTCCCCTCTTCTTCATGTCTCTTCTACATCAACATGTGTCCCCTCTTCTTCATGTCTCTTCTACATCAACATTGTCCTCTCTTCTTCATGTCTCTTCTACATCAACATGTGTCCCCTCTTCTCCATGTCTCTTCTACATCAACATGTGTCCCCTCTTTTTCATGTCTCTTCTACATCAACATGTGTCCCCTCTTCTTCATGTCTCTTCTACATCAACATGTGTCCCCTCTTCTCCATGTCTCTTCTACATCAAATGTGTCCCCTCTTTTCATGTCTCTTCTACATCAACATGTGTCCCCTCTTCTTCATGTCTCTTCTACATCAACTGTGTGCCCTCTTCTTCATGTCTCTTCTACATCAACATGTGTCCCCTCTTCTTCATGTCTCTTCTACATCAACATGTGTCCTCTCTCTTCTTCATGTCTCTTCTACATCAACAACATGTGTCCCCTCTTCTTCATGTCTCTTCTACATCACATGTGTCCTCTCTTCTTCATGTCTCTTCTACATCAACATGTGTCCCTCTTCTCTATGTCTCTTCTACATCAACATGTGTCCTCTCTTCTTCATGTCTCTTCTACATCAACATGTGTCCCCTCTTCTTCATGTCTCTTCTACATCAACATGTGTCCCCTCCAACATGTGTCCACTCTTCTTTATGTCTCTTCTACATCAACATGTGTCCTCTCTTATTCATGTCTCTTCTACATCACCATGTGTCCCCTCTTCTTCATGTCATCTTCTACATCAACATGTGTCCCCCTCTTCTTCATGTCTTCTTCTAACATACATGTGTCCCCTCTTCTTCATGTCTCTTCTACATCAACATGTGTCCCCTCTTCTTCATGTCTCTTCCACATCAACATGTGTCCCCTCTTCTTCATGTCTCTTCTACATCAACATGTGTCCCCTCTTCTTCATGTCTCTTCTACATCAACATGTGTCCCCTCTTCTTCATGTCTCTTCTACATCAACATGTGTCCCCTCTGTGGAAAGAGACTCTGAAAGTTTCAGGAACAAAGATTCTCTCTCTTTTTGTCCTGATCCATTTATATAAAAACCTTTTGGCAACTTGATGATGTCATAACGATGTGTTGTCTTGTGTAACCATTAGCCAATCAGCAACCAATGTAACCCCCCCCCCCCCTTATCACCTGAATCTCCTCCTAGAGCACCATTGAGTTCTTTGTAACCAAATGTCTCTCAGAGGGGCGTGGGGAGGGGCTCCTTATTTTCATCTAAAGTAACAGACAGAGAATCAGCACTTTGGAAACAGGGCTGAAACAGAGGGGATTATGGGTAATGCTGCAATGACCTGTTTGGTGTTTCAGCCAATCAGAGACAGGCTCTGGATATATCTGAGACCTGTGATATACTGATGAAGAGGAGGATGATAGGGGACCTTTAATGCACACAATATCTTTTTTTTGAGGTGCCAATCCCACTGTGTATCAACACAGAATGTATACTATGCATGAGATATATTACAAGCTTTCTCTACATACTCTTTCCTTGAATAGTTCATTCTGTAATGTGTTGTCTGGGGATGCAAAATGGATGAAAGAGAAGGATGAAAGGGAATATAAAAAGGTTAGAAAAGTGTCAAAAGAACTATAACTTACAGGAAGACTAGAGGTAGAGGAATGAGAGAATTTGGTTCGGGATATTTCCAAATATCTGGAACAAACTCCCAGAAAGCTGCCGGTCGGCTGCAGCTCTGACTACTGTTAAACCCAGGCTGAAGACTTTCCTTTTTGCCTCTGCTTTTAATTGAACTCTTCACATCTTAAACTGTAACTTGTATTCATGTTTTATTATCTTTGCTTTTTAATGTGTTTCCACTGCGATATTTCTTAATGTCTTTCTTTTTCTGTTTTATTACTGCACATATTTTATTCCATTCTATTTCGATGTAAATACTGCTATATTTGACTATATATTTTATAACTTTAATAATGTTATCATGTTATTATAGTACTTTCACGTCACTTGTAACGATCACTGTAAATATTGCATTGTCTCACCTGACACTGAAATACACCTCTCTCTGATCTGGTCATTTAAACTAACAATCTTTGTTTTCTATGTTCTGTTGCCTATTAGCGTTTTATTTTTTAACAAATTGTACGGTGTCCTTGGGTGTCATGAAAGCGCCTAAAATAAAATGTATTATTATTATTATGTGGAACAAATCTGCTCAAATCATCAGTGTTTTAATCAGGATTTAAAATCAATTCCATCTGTGTTTTTAATTCTTGTTTGACTTTTATGTACGCACCACGACTCTAAGTCAAATTCCTCGTACGTGTCAACCTACCTGGTGAGAAACCTGTTTCTGATTCTTCTGATTCTGAAATCTCATTGGTTGATAGGTCCGATTGATCCAACTCAACTGCAAGATCCTGTACAGCCTCGTCGATATGTCGTCCGTCGCCGGTGGGAGGGTTTGGATTTCGATTCCTTTCGGCACAAACGGGTTCAAGTTCTCATCGATAATGACGACCGCTGGCTCCGGGTCTGCTCCTTCAAAGAGTCCAGAGTCTGAAGTTGGGTTGGGTTCAGACACTTCGGTTGCCGGAGGTGAAGGGAAGGAGTCTGAAACCGGAGTTTCCGTTACACTGACGTCCATTTCTGGAGATATCGAGTCTTCGTCAGTTCCCTCTGATGTGTCGTTGTTGTCTTGATCTGTCACCTCTTTGAAAAGTCAGGCAGAAAAATATCATTCATTAATGAGCGCTTACAAAGGGTTTTATACATGTTAGTGTGAATTAAACTATACATTCAAACTGGTAAATGTGCAGTTTGAACCTACACTTTAAGAATAAATATCTTTATGTAGCACATAGAAAGGTTTTGGCGCTTGAAGCCAATGCAGTAACATTTTAAATTGTTTGAAAACGAAAGTACCTGCAGGACTCTGGCTGTCTTGAGTCTGTGTCTTCATTGTTGATTGGACTTATCGTAAGTCAATGTGGATAACACAGCAGCTTAACGCAATGTAATGTCTGAAATCATCAAGAAATCAAACCCAAGTTGTTGCTAGAATGGCATCAAAAAAAGAGCAGCTTACAAGCCGGAGATTCTGTAGAAATAATATCTGTAATCAGGAGTCACAATCAGGGGCTTTTGACTGCAGGGAAGAGAGCTCCGAGTTTTATTTATTTGACCTTTAGACAGCCGAAACAGTTAGCGAACGGCCAGTGTTAGCAACAGCAGTTCTGTCCATGTCTTT